GGGAAGTGCAAGGGGGAAGGGAATTCCTTTCTCTAGTCAAGGGAAACTGAGACAACACCTGGAAAACTGGGTAACTCCCACCCTAATACTGCACTTTACCAAGGGTCTTAGCAAATGGCACACCAGGAGATTATATCCCATGCCTGGCCCGGAGGGTCCCAAGCCCATAAGGCCTCTACATTGCTAGCACAGCAGTCTGAGATCTAACTGCAAGACAGCAGCGAGGCTGGGGGAGGGGCTCCCGCCACTGCTGAGGCTTAAGTAGGTAAACAAAGCCTCCAGGAAGCTCCAACTGGGTGGAGCCCATGGCAGTTCAAGGAGGCTGGCCTGCCTCTGTAGACTCCACCTCTGGGGACAGGGCATAACTAAACAAAAAGCAGCAGAAACCTCTGTATAGGTAAATGTCCCTGTCTGACAGCTTTGAAGAGGGCAGTGGTTCTCCCAGCATGGAGGTTGAGATCTGAGAACAGACAGACTGCCTGCTCAAGTGGGTCCCTGACCCCTGAGTAGCCTAACTGGGAGACATCCCCCACTAGGTGCAGACTGACACCTCACACCTCACACCTCACGTGGCTGGGTACACCTCTGAGACAAGCCTTCCAGAGCAAGAATCAGACAGTAACACTAAAGTTCAGCAATATTCTATCTTCTGCAGCCTCCCCTGCTGATACCCAGGCAAACAGGGTCTGGAGTCGACCTCAAGCAAACTCCAACAGACCTACAGCTGACAGTCCTGACTGTTAGAAGGAAAACTAACAACCAGAAGGGACACACACACCAAAACCCCATCAGTACGTCACCATCATCGAAGACCAAAGGCAGATAAAACCACAAAGATGGGGAAAGAGCTGTGCAGAAAAGCTGGAAATTAAAAAAATCAGAGTGCATCTCCCCCTCCAAAGGAATGCAGCTCATCGCCAGCAACGGAACAAAGCTGGATGGAGAATGACTTTCATGAGTTGAGAGAAGAAGACTTCAGTCAATCAAACTTCCCAGAGCTAAAGGAGGAACTACGTACCCAGTGCAAAGAAACTAAAAACCTTGAAAAAAGAATGGATGAATGGATCACTAGAATAATCAATGCAGAGAAGACTGTAAAAGAACTGATAGAGATGAAAAGCATGACATGAGAACTATATGACAAATGCACAAGCTTCAGTAACTGACTCGATCAACTGGAAGAAAGAGTATCAGTGATTGAAGATCAAATGAATGAAATGAAGTGAGAAGAGAAGTTTAGAGAAAATAGAGTAAAAAGAAATGAACAAAGCCTCCAAGAAATATGGGATTATGTGAAAAGACCAAATCTATGTCTGAATGGTGTGCCTGAAAGTGATGGGGAGATGGAACCAAGTTGGAAAACACTCGGCAGGATATTATCCAGGAGAACTTCCCAACCTAGCAAGGCAGGCCAACATTCAAATTCAGGAAATACAGAGAATGCCACAAAGATACTTCTCGAGAAGAGCAACTCCAAGACACATAATTGTCAGATTCATCAAAGTTGAAATGAAGGAGGAAAAAATGTTAAGTGCAACCAGAGAGAAAGGTCGGGTTACCCACAAAGGGAAGCCCATCAGACTAACAGCAGATCTCTCGGCAGAAACTCTCCAAGCCAGAAGAGAGTGGGGGCCAATAGTCAACATTCTTAAAGAAAAGAATTTTCAACCTAGAATCTCATATCCAGCCAAACTAAGTTTCGTAAGTGAAGGAGAAATAAAATCCTTTACAGACAAGCAAATGCTTAGAAATTTTGTCACCACCAGGCCTGCCCTACAAGAGCTCCTGAAGGAAGCATGAAACATGGAAAGGCACAACCGGTACCAGTCATTGGGAAAACATGTCAAAATGTAAAGACCATCGATGCTAGGGAGAAACTGCATCAACTAACGAGCAAAATAGCCAGCTAATATCATAATGACAGGATCAAGTTCACACATAAAAATACTAACCTTAAATGTAAATGGACTATATGGTTCAATTAAAAGACACAGACTGACAAATTGGATAAAGAGTCAAGACCCATCCGTGTGCTGTATTCAGGAGACCCATCTCACATGCAGAGACACACACAGGCTCAAAATAAAGGGATGGAGGAAGATCTACCAAGGAAATGGAAAACAAAAAAAGGCAGAGGTTGCAGTCCTAGTCTCTGATAAAGCGGACTTTGAACCAACAAAGATCAAAAGAGACAAAGAAGGCCATTACATAATGGTAAAGGGATCAATTCAACAAGAAGAGATAACTATCAAATATATAGGCACCCAAAACAGGAGCACCTAGATTCATAAAGCAAGTCCTTAGAGACTTACGAAGAGACTTAGACTCCCACGCAATAGTAATAGGAGACTTTAAACCCCCACTGTCAACATTAGACAGATCAACGAGACAGAAAGTTAACAAGCATATCCAGGAATTGAACTCAGTTCTGCACCAAATGGACCTAATAGGCATCTACAGTACTCTCCACCCCAAATTAACAGAATATACATTCTTCTCAGCACTACATCACACTTATTCCAAAATTGACCACATAGTTGGAAGTAAAGCACTCCTCAGCAAATGTAAAAGACAAGAAATTATAACAAACTGTCTCTCAGATCACAGTGCAATCAAACTAGACCTCAGGACTAAGAAACTCAATCAAAACTGCTCAACTACATGGAAACTGAACAACCTGCTCCTGAATGACTACTGGGTACATAACGAAATGAAGGCAGAAATAAAGATGTTCTTTGAAACCAATGAGAACAAAGATACGACATGCCAGAATCTCTGGGACACATTTAAAGCAGTGTGTAGAGGGAAATGTATAGCACTAAATGCCTATAAGCGAAAGCAGGAAAGATCTAAAATTGACACACTAACATCACAATTAAAAGAACTAGAGAAACAATAACAAATACATTCAAAAGCTAGCAGAAGGGAAGAAATAACTAAGATCAGAGCAGAACTAAAGGAGATAGACACACAAAAAAGCCTTCAAAAAAATCAATCAATCCAGGAGCTGGTTTTTTGAAAAGATCAACAAAATTGATAGACCGCTAGCAAGACTAATAAAGAAGAAAAGAGAGAAGAATCAAATAGATGCAATAAAAAATGATAAAGGGGATATCACCACCGACCCCACAGAAATACAAACTGCCATCAGAGAATGCTATAAACACGTCTATGCAAATAAACTAGAAAACCTAGAAGAAATGGATAATTTCCTGGACACTCACACTCTCCCAAGACTAAACCAGGAAGAAGTTGAATCCCTGAATAGACCAATAGCTGACTCTGAAATTGAGGCAATAATTAATAGCCTACCAACCAAAAAAAGTCCAGGACCAGATGGATTCACAGCTGAATTCTACCAGAGGTACAAGGAGGAGCTGGCACCATTCCTTCTGAAACTATTCCAATCAATAGAAAAAGAGGGAATCCTCCCTAACTCTTTTTACGAGGCCAACATCATCCTGATACCAAAGCCTGACAGAGATACAACAAAAAAGAGAATTTTAGACCAATATCCCTGATGAACATCAATGCAGAAATCCTCAATAAAATACTGGCAAACTGAATCCAGCAGCACATCAAAAAGTTTATCCACTATGATCAGACCCTGTTTGTCTGGGAATCAGCAGCGGAGGCTGCTGAAGATTGAATATTGCTGAACGGTGAGTGTTGCTGTCTGATTCTTGCTCTGGAAGCTTCATCTCAGGGGTGTACCCCACTGTGTGAGGTGTAGGCCTGCAACTAGTGGGGGATGTCTCCCTGTTAGGCTACTCAGGGGTCAGGGACCCACTTGAGCAGGCAGTCTCTCCGTTCTCAGATCTCAACCTCTGTGCTGGGAGATCCACTGCTCTCTTCAAAGCTGTCAGACAGGGACATTTACCTCTGCCCAGGTTTCTGCTGCTTTTCATTTAGTTATGCCCTTTCCCCAGAGGAGGAGTGTGCAGAGGCAGGCCAGCCTCCTTGAGCTGTGGTGGGCTCCACCCAATTGGAGTTCGGGGAGGCTTTGTTTACCTACTTAAGCCTCAGCAGTGGCGGGCGCCCCTCCCCCAGCATGGCTGCCGCCTTCCAGTTAGATCTCAGACTGCTGTGCTAGCAATGAGGGAGGCTCCCTGGATGTGGGTCCCTCTGGGCCTGGTGTGGGATATAATCTACTGGTGTGCAGTTTGCTAAGACCCTTAGTAAAGCACGCTATTAGGGTGGGAGTTACCCGATTTTCCAGGTGTTGTGTGTCTCAATTTCCTTTGGCTAGGAAAAGGAATTCCCTTCCCCCTTGCGCTTCCCAGGTGAGGCATGCCTCACCCTGCTTGAGCTCTGGCTGGTCGGGCTGCACCCCTGGACCAGGACCAGCGCCAACTGTCCCACATGCCCCAGGGAGATGAACCCGGTACCTCAGTTGAAAATGCAGAAATCACCCGTCTTCTGTGTCGCTCAGGCTGAGAGCTGGAGGCTGGAGCTGTTCCTATTCTGACATCTTGGGTGCGCCCTCAGGACACACTTCTTTAGTAAGCATTTAGTTTTCACTTTTTGCATTCCTTCATTTAGTTTTCACCACCTAGAACTGTGACACGTATATAAAAATGAATCATGGGTGTTTGTAGAACTGAACTTAAGTAGATTTTGTGCTAATGGAAAAAGCAATCACCAGAAGTATTTTGGAAAAAAAAAAATAAGGCATTGAATGGCTGTCATATCACATCACTCTGACATCATGCTGAGTATCACATTCATGCATACAACGTTTCATGTATCCTATAAAAATTATATAAGACACATAGCAGAAGATGTTCTTTTCAGATAGTTTTGTGGTAGCAAAACCAAACAAACAACCTCCCTATTAGCAATTAGTATAATAGAATTAAACGTAATTTTATTAAGGTCATCTACTAAAATCTTCTTAATGCGAAGTATATTGAAAGTCTTGGGAGTGCGCCGGGCTGGCCCCGCGGTGGGGTCGCGCGGGGACTCACGCGGGTGGTCTAGGGGACCGAGGCCAGGAGCCCATGGCCCGGGCCGCGACAGCCGAGCGGGGCTGCGTTGGGCTGCTTCGCGCCTTCCTGCAGAGCCTGCTCACCCTGTTAGACATCCTGGACCACTGGCGGCGCGGCTGCGGCTGCTTGCATCTGCGAGAGATCCAGTCCTGCTGGCAGGGTGCCGAAGCCCGGGGGCTGCCTAGCAGGGTGCTGAAAGGCCTGAGTCAGGTGGTCCCAGCCAGCTGCTACCTGACCTTCCAGCGCTTCGTTGCCGGTCTGCGCACCTCGCTGCTGAGATCCGACGGTCGCACCCGGGACCCCACGCGCGCCCGGGCCGGGCCCGGAGACCAGCCGCCGCAGCGCCTGCTGTTTGCACCGGCTGTCGATCTGCTGACGGTCCTGGAGAGGAAGCCCCTGTCCCTGGGCGTTCGCGCGCCTCTGACAGGTCCCAGAGGCCCGGCCCGCAGCCTGGAGCAGCTGTACGCCCCCGCCAAGGCGGCGCCCTGCCCAGCAGAGCCCGAGCCGTCCCAGAGCGCGGCGGTGGAACGGAGCCAGGGCGCCGACGCAGGTGCAGCGGCCTGCAGGGCCTTGGAGGCGGATTCAGGGGATGGCCGGCTGCCGCCCGCCCCCGTGCCCGAGGGGAACGTCGGAGGCACACCATCACCAGCTGCGTGGACTGCGGCCTGCTGACGCAGATGTAGGAACTGGAGCAGGAGAAGGAGTTGCTGCTGCAGGGTTTGGAGATGATGGCGCCGGGCGCAATTGGTACCAGCAGCAGCTGCAACGACTGCAGGAGTGCCAGTGCAGCCTGGGCCAGAGCAGAGCCAGCGCCGACGTTGGGGCTGTGGGGAGCCCTTGCCCACTGGGACGGCTACTGCCCAAAGTAGAGGAGGTGGCCCGGTGGCGGGGGGAGCTGATGGCTGCGGCCTGGGCCAGCCAGGCCCTGCCCACGTCCTCCTCCGGGCCGCCTGCTCTGTCCTGATGTCCACCTTGTCTCCCGGATGGCAGCAGCAGATCATCCTCATGCTGAAGGAGCAGAACCGACTCCTCACCCAGGAGGTGACCGAGAAGAGTGAGCACATCACGCAGCTGGAGCAGGAGAAGTCGGCGCTCATTAAGCAGCTGTTTAAGGCCGGTGCCCTGAGCCAGCAGGACGCGAGGTCTCTGTACTCCACCTTCATCTTGCCGGTGTGGACTGAGTGGGCCCCCAGGGCCGGCCTGGCACTCAGCCCTTCGAAGGTGGGTGCCTTGTCGTACCCAACCTCTCTGGCTGGAGACCCCCAGCAGGCCCAGGCAGTCCAGGAGTCGGCGCCTTCCTGTCCGCCTTGCCATCCTGGTTCCCCAGGCCTGTCCCCGGCTGGCCCGGACACCGAGCCCTTGACTCGGTTTTGGTCTCAGGTGTTGACATGGGCTGGGGCTCTCTTGAGTCCGCATAGTCCGCAGCTACTACTGCCGCTGTCAGTGGACAGTGGGGGACCCCTCCACGAGTTACCAGGTCTCTGGCTGCCCTGGCTTCCAGCGATGCTGCCTGCCCTGGGGTCCCATCTCCAGGCAAAAGAACTGCTCACGCCAGGCTGCACTTCCGACAAAGGCCAGCAGAGGGCGCCTGGCGGCTCGGTTGCGGACCTGACGCTGCGCCCGAGACCTGCGGGTCCAAGGACGGCTTCCCCCGACCTCAACCAGGGCACCAGGACAAAGTGGCTGTCGCCCGGACAGGAGCAGATGGAGGGGGTGGGGATGACCTCTAAGCAGGGGATGCCCGCCTGGCACGGGAGCCCCAGGGATGGCGGTCGGATTTCAGGTTCCGGCCAAGCCTGAGAGCCTCTGCCTGCCGCGGATCGGGGAGCCAGGTGGACTAGGGCTTGGCCTACGTGTGCCTCCCGCAGACCCCGCGGTGATGGCCTTCCTCATCCTGTGGGACTCAACGTGGCTGCCCCACGTTGAGTGCCACAAAACAACCTGTGAGCCTGGTTCCCCAGGAGGGCCCTGTCCCCAGGAGGGGGGTTAGCCTGGGCCTCCAGACAGTTCCAGGCACGTCATAGGGAGAGTCTGTCACCCCCTACTCAGGATTCCCAAGGTCTGGGGTCCTGCTCATCCCCCTTTCCTCCCACGCCCAGCCTGAACCCAGGTTTCTTTAGGGAGAGGCCACTTCTCTCAGCCAAGGAAAAGGAGAACCCCCAGGGTACAGGAGGCGGCTGGGGCAGATCCCCTTTGGTGTCACTCCCTGCCCCCCTGCCCAGGCCCACTCTCGCTGGTTCTGGGATACACACTGGTGGGGGCCCCATGCTCAGCCCAGCCTGGAAGGCCCCAGTGCCACCAGAGCCAGGGGCACGGCAACATCATAGGTCGATGCGGGGTCAGTGTGTGTTGGGCGCAGGGACCCTGATGAGAAGTCAGTGTATGGGGGGTGCACGGACCCCGATGCAGGGTCAGTGTGTGAGGCGCAGGATCCCCTCATGCCCAGGGCACTTTGGTGCACTGTTCCACAAGGCACCCCTGTCGCAGAGGAGGGGTGCAACTCCTGGCAGGCAGGGCAGCAACTCCCTTCCGGAACCCAGCTCCATGCTAACCTGCCCGCAGGAACTCCACAGAGCCGCATTCCCTGCTGCACCCGGGCTGCAGGGATATTCTAGGACAGGCCCGAGACAGCCCAGCGTACAGCTGTCCTCCTACCCTGAGGATGGGAGTGGGCTTTCCAGAGACATAAGGACGCCAGGCCTGGACATCCTGGCTGGGAAAAAGAGCGAGTCCTGAAGGCCTGTGCCCCACAGCCCCAGCACCGGGTGGACTGCAGTGCAGTGGGTGGGCCAGCGGCAGCCGGGGAGAAGCCCCCCATCAGCAGGCTGGGGTCTGCCCACCAAGGCCTCCCCACGTCTGCCTTTGAGGGTGCCTGTCATGCCCTGGGGAATCCTGGCCTCTTTACAGGACTGGAAACAGAAGACAGAACAGTGTCTGTCCTGGGATAACTTCATCAAGAGACCGCCCATGTAGAGCTGGACCCCGCAGCTAAAGAGGAAATGTGAGACAGGCTGGCACCTCTGGAAAAACTGCCTCTCAGCCTTGGTGTTCCATGCAAGGTGAAAAAAATATAGGTCCTCCAAGTTTACAGTGTGCAATCAGGCTAGTGCGTGGCCCTGCAGACTACGAGGGGAGAATTTAAAGTGGCCCCAGCTGGCAGGGTCTAGGTGGCTGGCAGAGGCACAGGCAGACCCTGCCTGGAGCCTGCCCTAGTGATGCTGGGTGGGTCAGTCTCCTTGCACCATATGAGCAGCATCCCTGGCCTCTATCCACGAGATGCCAGTAGCATGCGCAGGTACATACAAGTGCGTGCACACACAGTTGTGACACTCAGAACTGTCTCAGGATGTCAAAATGTGTCCCTGTGGGCAGAAGTGTCCCTGGTTGAGAATCTGCCCCAGAGGAACACAACCACAGGAGGCCTCAGGATTTTGTGTTGATCAGGTTCCAAGGAAAATGACTATCTCCACCGACCGCGGTGGCTCACACCTGGAATCCCAGCACTTGAGGCCAGGAGTTCGAGACCAGCCTGGGCAACATAGTGAGAAACCCCATCTCTACAGAAAAAGAAAGAAAGAAAGAAAAGAAAATGAGATCTCCCGTTTTAAAATTCATAAACATCACAAGACAACAATACACTATGAGACCCAGCAGAAACAACACATAGACTGTAGATACAGATACTGGAATTATCAGAGAGAATATAAAAGAACAGTGTTTTATATATCTAAAGAAATAAAAGAGATTTCTGGAAACATGAAAAAAAAAAATCTAGTTTTATCACGTGATCATTCAAACCATCCTTAAGTATTATAAATACACTACAGCATTTCCAAACTTAAGCCAAAAGTGGTATAAATACATCACTCTGAATTAGTGCAGATTTGTAGTGTCTTAAAATGTAAAGATTTGCATAAATGCATAAAACAATTTGTTGTTGTACTAATTTATTAAAATTGAAAATAGTCAAACAAAATTCAAATTCAAATATGATTACATAATTTATTTATTATTATTATACTTTAAGTTCTAGGGTACATGTGCACAGCATGCAGATTTGTTACATATGTATACATGTGCCATGTTGGTGTGCTGCACCTGTTAACTTGTCATTTACATTAGGTATATCTCCTAATGCTATCCCTCCCCCCTACCCCCACCCTATGACAGGCCCCAGTGTGTGGCATTCCCCACCCTGTGTCCTAGTGTTCTCATTGTTCAATTTTCACCTATGAGTGAGAACACACGGTATTTGGTTTTCTTTTCTTTTCTTTTTAACTTTATTAAAATACTGAGTTTTATTTCACATGTATATTTTTGTCTCCCCACCATTTCCATGTCTGACCACCGCTACCACTATGTCCTATCATAACATTGCATACTTAAAACCAAGCAAAGGGTGGAGTTCCATCTGTAAAAACTACACAGGCATTTTGGACAACACATTCTTGGCCATGGAACCTGGACAGTATTTATCAAACACGGTAGGGAAAGTTCTCACTCTGCATTATAAAAAGGACAGCCAGATATCAACTGTTACAGAAATGAAATAAGACGGAAAATTTTTAACAAATTGTTTAAACTATTTTCTTAAAGAGACTTCCTCCACTGCCAGAGATCTTGAATAGCCTCTTGGTCAGTCATCTGGAAGCAATTCTTCACATATTTGATGAACTTGGCTTCCACTTTGGGAAGAGAACCACCTTTTTCTATACTTGCTTGCATTTTTGCTTTAATGTCTTCTACAGAACTAGGTCCTTTTGGTGTTTTAGGAGTTTTTTCCTGTTTTTTGAGGGATTCTTGTCCTTTTGATCTTGGTGTGATGATGGTTTTGAGTCTTTTCCATTCTGATTTGGCTTTTGTGCATTTTTGGCTGGAGTATCTCATATAGATTTCTTCACTGATGCTTTTTCTTTAGGTTACTCATCATCAAAATCATCATCATCATCATCATCATCATCATCTTCATCAGCAGCAAGTTTTACTTTTTTCTGTGGAACCTTGCTACCACCTCCAGGGGCAGACCGCTTTCCAGATATACTTAAGAGTTTCATGTCCTCCTCCTCTTCATCTTCTGACTCTGCATCTTCCTCCACAGCTACTAAGTGCTGTCCACTAATATGCACTGGTCCTGAACCACACTTCAACCTTAAGACCACTGGTGGTGTTATTTCAAAGCCCCCAAGGGAAATCGTTGGCTATACAGACATTTTCAAAGTTGCCAGTGTTACTTTAATTGGACTACCTTCGTAATTCATTGCCTCTGCTTCAACAATGTGCAATTCATCCTTTGCACCAGCCCCTAAACTGACCGTTCCTAAAGATAACTGGTGCTCATTTTCATAAAAGTGGATAATCTTTGTCGGCCTTTAGTTCACAACTGAAAAGATAGTTCTGGGGCCTCAGGGGGCTCATATCCACATCCATCGAATCTTCCATCAGGTGGCGGCAGGCACTTAGGTGGGAGAGAAGGCGGACGGAGATAAAGGAACGCTGCTCCAGAGAACAGCTGTGCAGGACGGAATCACACTAGGGACGGTGTTTGGTTTTCTGTCCTTGCTATAGTTTGCTCAGAATAATGGTTTCTAGCTTGATTACATAATTTCAAATTTTCTTCCACCAATCTATACATTTATATATTCATAATATTAATATTTCATCTGGAAATACCTACTGACTAGTTATAATTCAGTGAGATGTAAGAACAAATCGTGAGAGAATTACAGACATTATCCCACCTGAGTCTTGATCACTTACTGGTAAAGAAGCTGAGAAACAGACGCTTACCCGGCTGAGTCTTGGAGTGAGTCTGTGTATGAATTGTGGTCCCTGAACCATGGTTATAAGGAAGGGATACTGTGAGTTCATCTCCCTCACGCCCATAGTTGTCATGTCACCTATAGAAGCAGGATGGCCCTGGCCCTGGGATTGTTAGAAAAGGGAGCCACCAAGGCAAAAACTAAATGTACCTAATTCTTGAAAAACAGCAGAGTCGCCACAGCTGGGTTCTGAAGTTTATAATGAGTGCGCTCATTTTCTTAGGTAATCTTGCACAGATGAATTGCCTCCTCTCAGTCCTTGTCAACAAAACAGATGTTAAAGAATAACTCTAACTTCAAACTGTCTTTACATTTTCCTGTCAGATTACCAAACGTTTCCTTACTGAAAAAAAAAATATACATACATACAATGGGATGAATGAATATCACAATGTTGCATACAAGAAACCAGATTAAAAAGCATGCATAGTATTTAATTCCATTCATGAAAAAAATCAAAAAGCAAACAAAACTGAGTTTCTGGCTTCAGGTAAGAGTGAAATAGCTTGTTTAACAAGACTCTCACTGGAAAAATTTTACATTTTTGATAAAATATGATATGTAATTATATAGAAATATAATTTATATGTAATACATATGGTATAATACATGGGTGAGTAAGAAGTGAATAAGAATTTCAGCTTTGTCCACTGTAGGGGAGATAGGGTTTGGGATTGGAGTTGAGTTCAAATTAAGTTCTTCTAGAAAAATAATAATAATCCTCAAGAAACACAACAGAATCCAGAGTCTCTATAATTATTTATAGTTTCCAGCACATAATTTTAAAATTCATGAGATGTGTGAAAAAAGCAGGATAATGTAATTCATATACAAGACTAAAACTAAAACAGGCATTAGAAGCTATCTCCAAGGTGTTCAAGGTGTTGTAATAAGATGACAAGAATTGGAAAGCAGCTATTATAAATATGGTCATGGAAGTAAAGAAAAATATTCTCATAATGATTGAGCAGATGTGGGATCTCAGCAGAGAAATGGAAATTAGAAAAGAACCAAATAGAAAGATGATAATAAAAAAGTACTGTTGAGAGGATCAGCTGATTAGAAACAGAAGAAATAAACTTGAAGATGGAGCCCTAGAAATTAACCAATCTGAAGACAACGTTTCAGATGAATGATTGAAGAAAAATGAAAAAAGCCTTACAGACCTGTGAGATGACTGAGTCCTACTAGACAAGGCCTGCCTTTCCAAGTATCGAGTCCACAGTGCAACTGACCTACTCCTGCCTGAGCAATTCAGCTGTGGCCCACATTCTTCTGAGAGCCTGGCTCCAGAGGCCAATGGTCCACCCTGGGGCTCCTGCCACAGTCACTATTCCCACTGCTATTGCTGCCACAAGGCCAAGGAGGAAATGTGGAGACCAGGCACTTTCATGCACCCTAACAGTGGAATCCACCCTGTTTTTGAGGAAGGGAGGTGGCAAGTGGGCCACAACGTTTCACAGCTGCCAGCCTCCACTGCACCCACTGAGGGGGGGGCCTATCCTCCCCAGTAACAGGCCCATCACATAGCCACACTGCCCTTGCCTAGGTGTTTTGGTTTCAGCTGCGCACTCTTCTGAGGCATTGCAACTGTAAAAAACCAGCCCAGTGCAGAGCTGCCTGACATGGAATTCCCTCCCCAGCTGCTGGCAGAGCAGTTGACTCTGATGGAAGGGGTGAGCAGCTCTGCTCTTTAGGGCAGGGCGGGGTCAGGCCATGCCTCTGGCACCAGCTGTCTCAGACCAGCCATTCCCTGACTAGAGTCTAGTGATCTGGGTCTTATCCCAGCTCCACGTTTCACCAACTGTGCGACTTGGATGAGTTTCTTCACCCACCAGCCTTCCCTGTCCACATGCAGACAGTGGGTATGGGACACAAACAGCGCCAACTGCAAAGAGTGACAGGGCACATCAAATGAGATGGAACAGATAGGAAGAAAAGTGGAGGCCTGGCCCATTTGTTGGTGGAGGTGCTCAAAGCAAGCAGGTCTATAGGTCACCCACCCATCTGCCCAGGAGCCTCACCTGCCTCAGCACTTATTAGGCACCTGATGTATAGAGATTCTATGGCAGACACCCGACAGAGCCCTTAGTTGTGGCTGCCACATGATTCTCCCATCCTGCTCCCAAAGTGTGGGGATTATAGGCATGAGCCACCACCCAAGCTTAAGTTTTTTTCATTTTTGTTGTTTTTATATGCTTTAATTACTTTCTGTTTTTCTTCTATGTATTTACTACAGTTTTTTTTCCTAGTGGTTATCATAAGACTTATGTAAAACATCTTGTATCTTAACAATCTTGTTTAAGATGATGACAATTTAACTTCTATGCATAGAAAAGCTTTACAAATTTTCTCCCTTTCATAGATTTTATACTATATACATCAAACTTTACAACTTTTTATGTCGTGTGTCCATTAGTAAATTATTGTAGTTATTTCATTTTTAATATTTTTATAGATTTTATACTAAAGTTCAAAGTGACTTGTGCAAAACCACTACAGTGTTAGAGTGTTCTAAATTTCACTAAGTATTTACATTTTCAGTAACATTTATACTTTAATGTTTTTCATATTATTTACATTCGATCATATCAATACGAAGACTTCCTTTTAGCATTTCTTACAAGACAGGTTGAGGTGTGATAAATTCCCTCACCTTCTTTTTTGTCTCGAAATGTTGGAATGTCTTGACCTCTATTATTTCTAAAGAACAGCCTTGTTGGTTAAACTCTTCTTAATTATCAGTTTTTTTCCTTCTTTCAGCATTTTGAATATATGTTCTCCCAGGTTTCTTGCAAAGTTTCTGCTGGAAAATCCACTGATACCATTATAAAGATTTCCTTCTATATGAAGAATTTATCTCGTGCTGCTTTTAAGATTTGTGCTTTATCTTTGTGTTTTGACGATCATAATGTGTCCGAAGGCAAACTTTATTAGGTTCTTCTTGCTGTAGGTATTTTGAGCTTCAGAAAACTGGATGTTCATATTCTTTTCTAGATTTGGAAAGTTTTAAGATGAAGGGGTAGCCTGCCCCTTCACACCTGTGGGTGTTTCTCATCAGGTGGGACGAGAGATTGAGAAAAGAAATAAAAGACAGAGACAAAGTATAGAGAAAGAAAAGAGGGCCCAGGCGACCGACAGTCAAGTTCCCTCAGTATTTATTGATCATTATCTCTACCATCTCTGAGAGGGGAATGTGGCAGGACAATAGGGTAATAGTGGGGAGAGGGTCAGCAGGAAAACATGTGAACAAAGGTCTCTGTGCCATAAATAAGTTTAAGGAGGACGGGTGCGGTGGCTCAAGCCTGTAATCCCAGCACTTTGGGAGGCTGAGACGGGTGGATCGCGAGGTCAGGAGATCGAGACCATCCTGGCTAACATGGCGAAACCCCGTCTCTACTAAAAAAAAAAAAAAAAAAAAAAAACAAGAGAAAAAACTAGCCAGGCGTGGTGGCGGGCGCCTGTAGTCCCAGCTACTCGGGAGGCTGAGGCAGGAGAATGGCATAAACCCGGGAGGCGGAGCTTGCAGTGAGCTGAGATCTGGCCACTGCACTCCGGCCTGGGAACTTGAGTGTCGGTCCCCTGGGCTCTCTTTCCCCTCTCCGAGATGGTAGAGATAATGATCAATAAATACTCCGGCCTGGGTGACAGAGCAAGACTCTGTCTCAAAAATAAATAAATAAATAAATAAAATAAGTTTAAGGAAAGGTGCTGTGCCTTGATGTGCATGCACACAAACATCTGGGTGCAAGAAAGAGCAGTATTGCCGCCAGCATGTCTCACCTCCAGCCTTAAGGTGGTTTTCTCCTATCTCAGTAAATAGAACATAGAATCGGATTTTACACCAAGACATTCTATTCCCAGGACGAGCAAGAGACTGATGCCTTCCTCTTGTCTCAACTGCAAAGAAGCTTTCCTCTTTCACTCATCCTCCTCAGCACAGACCCTTTATGGTGTCGGGCTGGGGGGTGGTCAGGTCTTTCCCTTCCCAGGAGGCCATATCTCAGGCTATCACATGGGGAGAAACCTTGGACAATACCTGGCTTTCCTAGGCAGAGGTCCCTGTGGCCTTCTGCAGTGTATTGTGTCTCTGGGTACTTGAGATGAGAGAATGGCGATGACTTTTACTAAGCATAATGCCTTCAAGCACTGTTTTTAACAAAGCACATCCTGCGCAGCCCTAAATCCATTAAACCTTGAGTCAACACAGCACATGTCTCTGTGGCACGGGGTTGGGGTCAGGGTTATAGATTAACAGCATCTCAAGGCAGAAGAATTTCTCTTAGTACAGAACAAAACAGAGTCTCTTATGTCTACTTTTTTCTACATAGGCACAGTAACAATCTGATCTCTCTTTCCTTTCCCCACATAAGACATTATATATTTAAATCCCTTTCCCTCTTTCTCCCTTTTTCTGAAATTTCTGAAGTGTGTACATTTGTTCACTTTATGGTTGGTTACTTTTAAATAGCCTGTCTTTGAGTTTGCTGAATTTTTCTTCTTTAGGATTGAGTCTGCTGTTAAACATTTCTATTATATTTTTTTATTTCTGCTACTGTTTCAGTTCCAATTTCTGTAAAATTTTTTTGACTTGCTCAGTCTCTTGATTTAGTGGCACACATAGAATGAATGAAT